AAGACCTCTTGATCTTTGACTGAATGGCTCGATTAGTGGAGTATTACACTAGGGGCAAGCGTATGGTGTATCTGTGTGGCATGTGAATGCTCTTTGCTGAGAGTGAGTGAATTCTGTTTATATATGGTTCCTCGTTGTTGAATTTTATTGTGTGTGGAACTACTCTCAAATCGTGTTTATGTGAGGGCATGTGACTCAGGAAGAAAAAGTGAATCTTCAGTTCAGTTAGAGTAATTAGAGTGAGCACAAGTGTGTCATGGCATGAGAGTCTGCATTTGAGTTATGATTGTGCACTGCTTAGGTCGGTCTTTGATAATATCAGGTGTGACATAAATTGGGGCAATACATTGCACAGTTAGATATAGAAGTGTGGCTTAGCTTGCTCGAGGACGAGCAAAGGTTTAAGTGTGGGGTGTTGATAATAGGTGAATTTGACTATAATCACGCACCAAATAATCACCTTCTTGTGAACTTTTAATGTGGAAAAATGACAACAAAATGCTCTTATTAATGCTTTTCATGATTTGCAGGTGATATAGGTGTAAGGAAGGTTAAGGAGCGGTTTTGGAGTCAACTATTGATGAAAAAAGGCCAATTGTTGAATTTTCCAAGTATCCCATTCAAAACAGGCCAAAGTTTCCGGGTACAAGTTCCACCGCAGTTCTACCGCGAGCGCGGTGAAACCGCGGTGGAAGGCAGTTTCTGAAAGTTGAAGATTCTGCGAGGGAGTTTGGCCGCGGTTCTACCGCGACCGCGGTGGGCACAGTAAACTTCAGGGACTTAAGTGTAAAACACGGGATTTTTAGACCTAAACCCTATTTAAAACACTAGACTTCGCCCAAGAGAGGCATGTATTGATTTTTTAGGTTTCTTAGCAAGGAAAACAATTGTGAGCAAGTACTCTAAACATCTTTCTTCTTTTCTTTTGATTTTATGATGAATTCAAGCTTAGTTTATTCTCCCATATCTATGAGTAGCTAAATTCCTTGTCTAAGGCTTTGATGGAACCTATTGGGTGATGAACTTCTTGTTTATGTGAATACAAATTGCTAGTTTAATCTTTATTTGTTCAACTTCGTGTTCGTTGTAGTTAATTGACAGGATCCTCAATTAGCTGTACCTATTTAGTGTGCATAACTTGGAAAAGAGTGCATATTTAGGGTATTGTTGAACAACACCACTCCTAGATTATTAGAGGAATCTATAATTGCGGGTTTAAAGGCGGGATTAGGAATAACGAAGTCTTGGGTGCAATCTAAATTGAATTGTGCTAAATAAAGCAAGCTAGTGTATCTCGGGAGAGTGCAATAGTAGATTACTGTGATTACTCGGGAGAGATTTGCGGTAAGATTAGCGTTCAAGATTGATAGAGATGAGTGGGTAAATTTGTATGAGCATAAACAGGAGGGATTCCATCAATAGGGGAAATCATTGCCTTAGCTTTGTCCCATAATTGTTTACAACCTTATTAATTTAGTTATAGCCATTTAGTTACTTGCAAGCTAGTTGTTAAAGAACACTCAACTGAGAATTTGAATGTTTGAGAAGCTGGTGCTGAATACTTGGTGGGTTTGAAGATAGCGGTTGATAGGTTAACTCTCTGTGGATTCGACCCTGGGCGTAATACTCGGGTTATATTTGCAACGTCCGCAGAGTTCTTTTTTAGAAGGCATAGTTGGGCGTGATCAAATACCAACCAAAACTTTGTTCGGGTCCGAACTCTTCATTATATAGAAAGTTAAAAGTTATTGTGTTGGTGAAATTATAAGTAATTGAAGTTGAAAATAAAATGAAGAAAAATAAATAAATATTCTTTAGGCTGAGGCGCGGATATCTCGCTCTCTTTAAGGAGATTCAAGCCCACTGCGGTAGCATCTTCACAGGTCCAGCAGTAATACTCTTGACTTTTCCCCTCCAAGATACAACAACTCGACAATATCGTATGACTCGAACAAACTCTGGACAAGTTGTTGAGTCCAAAGCTCCACAAAAAATGAACACCTTCTTCAACAAAATAATATTTTCTTTTGTAGAGAATAAATTGGAGACTTCGATTTTCTCCTTCTCATAGCTCTCTTTTTCACTACACCAAGTTTACTTTTTCTATACACATTACCCTATTTTTTCATCTACAACATAAGGAAGAAACATCACTATTTATTGGTGTAGACCATGAAATAAATAACAAAGTATGGCATAATAAAGTTATAGTACTTGGTTGGTGGTTACAAGATTTAATATTTAGTAGGTAATTAGTGGTAGATCATGGCATTAGTGGTTTCAAGAGTTACGCCAAAATAGCGATCACTTTTTTGCCAATTTATAGCCACTATCTCACACGAAATAATGCACTTTAATATTATAATTTTAATATTAAAGTGCACTAACACCAACATTCCCCCACTCATTTTAATATTAAAATAAGAGAGATTACCAGTTGAAGGGAGACTATTATTAGGTGTACTCTGTATTGAACCTCCACTTAGTAAAACAACGATCTTTACTCCAGAGTCGTAGTGGTCTCAGACTTGAACTATGACTGCTTAAGGGAAATAAAGTATCACTGCTTACACATAATAATCAAGGTGTTGACATGAGCTTTATTAGCCAACACATTACGGCTTTGTGCTATTTCGCTTTTCGTGAGTGTTTTTTTAGAACAAGCCAAATTCTCATAGGAAGCGGCCTACTTCTACACTCACATAGGTGAAATCTGTCAAGGGTGCCCCTATAACTCTAACACCCACTCATAGGAGCAACAGATTTTTACTAAGAGTTAATAAAACTCAATCTCGCAAATTATTACAGGATAAATGAACTTACATCATAGGGATGGAACAATAATAAAAATAGGGCATTTCAAATCAAGACATCATATGATTCGTTCTTCCCATTGAACTTGGTTATAGGATCTCTAGTCCCCACGTTGTGTTTCCTCAGAGGGTGTTTGGATTGGCTTATTAAAAGTAGCTTTTAAGCTAAAAGCCAAAAGCCATAAGTTGGTAATACCCAACTTTTGGCTTTTGGCTTATTTTTGTACTTTTTATGCCTAAAAGTAACTGCTTTTAAGCACTTTTTATCGTTGTCAAACATCACACAAACTAAAAAAGTGCTTAAAAGTCAATATGCAATTAAAATAAGCCAATCCAAACACCCTCATATATGACTTATGAGTTTATGAGCTTCAATCACATCCCCCTCGATGTACTCCAGACCCTTTCTATTGCCAAGGCCTTGGTTAGTGGATCTGCAAAATTATCACATAATCAACATCAATGTTATCACTTTTCAAATATCACACAATATTGTATTTTGTCCTTATAGGTCTGGGATTTACTGTTGTAATAATGGTTTTGTACTCTACCAATAGCAGCGGTGCTGTCACAATGAATTAAAATAGGAAAAATTAGTTTTTCAAAATAAGGAATTTGAAATAATAAATCTCTCAACCAATTCACTTCCTCACTAGCTGAAGCTAGCATTCATGATAGAGTTAGCAATTATTACTCTTTTTAATTTCCAACAAATAGCACCACCTCTCAAAGATAAAATGTTTCAATCTGCATTAGAAAAGCCTTCAAGTACAACAGGATATTTTTTTATAAGATAAGCCATAGATTTTTGTTCCAAGTAAATACCTCATAACTCTTGTTGA